ATACATTCCATGCAGTCCTCCAGAGCTGATGGTACCTGTGAATTTATGTTTCCTTGATTAGGTTACTTTTATGTAAGTTGCCATCTTAGCAGAACTTTAAGACTTCTATTGGCACTGAAGAAGCAATTCTCATATTGTGAAAAGGACCATGTGGCAAAGAACAGTGGGCAACCTCTAGGAGCTTAGGACCTCAGCAAGGAACTTAATTCTGTCAACTGCAGGGGGCTGGTGGATAAAGAGGACCCAGAGGCTCAGGTAAGACTGCAGCTCTGGCTGACATCATGTGTTAAGATTTCTGCCTTGTGGAACTTTGAGATACTAATAAACAAGTGTTGACTTAAGTTATTAAGTTTGTGGTAATTCTTTACACATCAACTGAAAACTACTATGCTCTTTAACAAGTATAAGAATGTCAATAGCACTTTCCTAGACTTTTTTTTTCTTTTCTCTCTGCTCTGTCTCTCTGTCTCTCTTTCTCTCAGTGAATATTAATTTTAGAAAGGGGTTTCATTGTAATATTTCCATACTGCATATAGTGCACTTTGATCAAATCACCACTGCTATTGTGGTTTCTTGTCCCTTCCCTCACTTTTAATTTAGCAGCTTTAATATATTTCTTTATATATATATATATACATATATATGTAACATTTTTTCTCTTTTTTTCATGTTTTTTTGGGGGGGGTCTAGTTGTGGGGCCTGAACTCTGGGCCTTGGGCGCTGTCCCTCAGCTTTTCAGCTCAAGGCTAGCGCTCTACCACTTGAGCCACAGCACCACTTCCAGCTTTTTTCTTTTTGCTTATGTGGTGCTGAGGAATCGAACCCAGGGCCTCGTGCATGCAAGGCAAGCGCTCTACCACTGAGCCACCTTCCCAGCCCCAACATATTTCTTTATTTCTCTTTATCTTTTTTTTCTTCCTTCCCTCCCACTTTGTTCTTGTTTTTTTTGAGACAGAATCTCACTATGTAATCCAGCTGGCCTAGACCTCATGATCCTCCAGCCTCAGCCTCCCAAGTATTGGGATTACAGGAATGTACCATCATGTCTAGCTCTAGGACTTTTCTTTCTAAAAGAAAAAAAAAAGTCCAGTCAGAAAATGGATAAAATAATTACAGCAAATTCATACTATGAAATACTATACAGTAGTAAAGATACATGAACTACAAGCGTTGTCAAGTGTAATGCTGAAGGAAAAAAAGCTGTAGAGGAGTGCATATATAAAGAGGAAAAGAAAGACCCAAGTATCAGGAAGAGTACATTCTCCTATGTCCAAATTTTGTTTTTTATCCTGAATTTGTTTACTTCTTTTCATCTCTCCTGCTACTGTTGTAAAACACTATCATCTCTGATCTGGACCAAGGCAACAGTCCCATCTCTTGGCAATTCTACTGTCTCCTTAACAGTAGGTTCTCTACACTATCACCACAATGACCTCATTATAATACAAATTAGATCATGCCACTCCCCTCCTCAGAGCCTCCCACAGCTTTTCATCACACAATAGAATAAAATCCTAACTCCTATCATGGTTGCAAAGCCCTGCATGACTTTGTCCTCACCGGACACTCCAAGTTTTATCTCCCTCTAATGCACTAAAAAACCACGTCGACTGACTGTTTTAAAACAAGCCAAGCTTGTTATTATATGCCAGGAACATCCTGTTCTTGAGCATCCCTTGGATCTTTATAGATCAGTTTTCCTCATCAATCAAAACTCAGTTTAGAGATTCCCTCAGTGAAGAGTTCTTTTCTGACCACTCTAGCTAAACCAGGGATCCCAATTATGCTTTATTACCCCCACCCAGTTATATTCTTCTTCCAACACATATTACTAGCTGAAAAATATCATTTTTACAAAAATCTATAATAAACAGATGAAGTACTGGATATTGTCAATCTCCCCCCCCCATGTGTAGGGACCTATTCATTGTTACATTCATAATAATACATCTATTATTAAAATAATTAGATATTGAATGAATGACCTCTTGTGGCCAGGTTCAAATTTGTCTTTGCACAAATGTTCATATTTAATAGTCTTAGTGTTTTCTATAGTTATACCATGCTTCTTTAAGTAAAGCATATGAACAAAAAAGCATTTCATTAACTTCTGAGTTCTTTTTTTCCCCTTGCCCTTAAAATATTATGACTAGGATGTTTAAGTATTCTGTAAACATAAAAGACAAATAATGTGGAGCTGGGAAGGTGGTTCAGTGGTAGAGTGCTTGCCTTGCATGCATGAGGCCCTCAGTTCAATTCCTCAGCACCACATAAGCAGAAAAAGCTGGAAGTGGGCTGAGGCTCAAGTGGTAGAGTGCTAGTCTACAGCTGAAGAGCTGAGGGACAGTGCCCAGGCCTAGAGTTTCAGGCCCCACGACCGACAAAAAAGAAAGAAAGAGAGAAAGAGAAAGAAAGAAAGGAAGGAAGGAAGGTAATGTGAGGGGTAATGAAGAAAGAAAGAAAGAAAGAAAGAAAGAAAGAAAGAAAGAAAGAAAGGAAGGAAGAAAGAAAGAAAGAAAAATAGATAGATAATGTGAGGGGTAATGTTTTATTCCCCAAACTAGAGAAGTTGTTTCCCAATCTGAATCTGTTCATGCCATTTTACCTTCAATATATAGAAAGCATCTATAGATAAAACTCTTCAGGATTCAAGTTTATAGAAAGTTATTTCTTCTTACAAATATGTGGTTTCCTATTGACTAAAAGAGTAAGTGAATACTAAATCTGCAAGGCTAGTGCTCTGCCACTTGAGCCACAGTGCCATTTCCGGCTTTTTTCTTTTTGCTTATGTGGTGCTGAGGAATCAAACCCAGGGCCTCATGCATGCAAGGCAAGTGCTGTACCACTGAGCCACCTTCCCAGTCCCTACAGTTTTATAAGTCATTCATTCATCAATCATACATAGGTATTAACCACATCTTAAGCACTATCCAAAAGCAGCAGAATATTATTGCTCCATTTCTGCCCAGGTTAGTTGTAAAAAGAGTAACTCTTAATATACCGCCATGACTATATGCAGAGAAACACAAAGGCACCTCTCCAATAAAGTCTAGTTTATTGCAGGGTGAGGGAAAGGGTCAAGTCCATGACAGCAGGAAAGAACATAAGATAAGGGGATAGGAGAGGAGCTATAGATAAAATCTCAAGTATAATGGCATGCTGACTTGAGAGAGCAGGCAAACATCAGAACCAGAAGAGCAAACGTCCAAAGAGATAAGGATAAAAATGTGAGCAAGGTAAAGATAATAGAATGATCTATACTCTACACCAGGGATTCTGATTTATTTTACATGAACCCTTAGGGTTTTATGTGTATCAAGACATACAAAAAAAGATTTTCTCTGGAAAAAATGTCTTATGTTCAACTGGGTCATCTAGATGACCATTTTTTCCTTGGTTATCACAACATTTCAGTTCACACATTTGTAATTAGTAGTACACTACTCATTCATGCAGAATAATGAAAAAGGAAATAGGGACTAATGTATGTAACTGATGTCAAGGTCAAATGAAGGTCAAATAAGTCATGACAGTGAATTAAACGTCTTGCAAAGATTTTAAAATAGAAAGGGACAATGCATAATCTCTTAATATTAAGGCAACTTGGATAGATCTTTCTTTAATGGAAACTGCACGTTGGAGGACAGGACAGACTTATTTTTAGGATTTTTTTAGATCCAGTAATATAATCTCACTGGTCACAATAAGTATTCATTTGAATTTTTTGGTTTTATAGTTTTGCTTTATTTTACCTACAAATGTTTTGCATAAAAGATTCAAGATAAGGTATTTTTACCTAGGTTTATATTTGAATATATTTAACATACTAAAAATATTATAAGACAAAAATGGAGGGAGGATCTGTGAATGGATTCTGGTTTATAAGATTCTGCCTGGGTGAGTGGGAATCTCTTAAAGACTGTAACACAAAAGTATAGCTTTGTGTTTCCAGAAAAATCACTCTGGAAGAAATATGTGGGGATGGAATTGGGAAGAAAAAAACAAAAACAAAGTAAAAGGGATATAGATAATATAGTCAGGATAAGTTATAAAACAGAAATTTAAGAAATAGATAAAAGAGTTAAACTAACAAAGATTTGGCTGTGTGGGTAGAGTCTAGAATAATAATTCTTTGGGTGGCTTGGTGGTGAGATAAAGACTACAGGAAGACAAGGAGCAAAGAGGAAAGAGAAGAGAGATGATGAATTCAATTCAGCAATGATTTGAATTTCATTTCATCCAAAGAAAATCCAGTTATTTTTTTCCCCGAGTTCCAGTTTTCTCAGTGACAGCTGCATCCATGAATTACCAAATTAACTATTGTAGCACTCTCTAAAAATACATAAAGCACTCCACAGTATGCTGTAAACAAGTCATACAAAAAAAAAAATCAGCAAAAGCCAGGCTCTGAAGGAAAGGCAGAAGGTTAAAAGGATTTTTTTTTTAACAACACTGAAAATGTGGCCCAGCACCTTCATCCAGTACTGCACTTTTTAAGCTGCCAATCAGATGCAGTCATTTTCCTTGAGCACCTAGAAACAAGAGGTTCCCTGCCAAGTCCTCGTGACAAACACACAGACACCTTGACAGACTCACAGCAAAGCAATGGGGACCTAAGGGTCATGGAAATGTAGTGTATTGGGAATATTGGGGATTTTGAACACATAGGCGGGGCTAGTTAACTATGATGTCTTTCACTTAAAGAAACTAGGAATTACTTCAGGCAGACTAACAAAAATGTAAGCATTTTCTATTTTATTTCCTACAAGGAAGAGATAAAGAAGACGAGGAAGGAAACGCAGCAATCCTTGCAAAACCAGCCAGCGTTCCCTCGAGCCACACTGGGGTGGGTCCCTGGGGAAAAGTCAGTTTCTAGTTTGGAGGGAAATGCAGCGTCTTCCGCGCACAGCAGCGCCGTGCTTCAACACCCCAAGGTCTCAACAGTCAACCTCGTCCCCAGCGTCCAGCGTCGGGCTGAACTGAAAAGTCGCGGGGCGTACCTTTGCAGGGTCACGCTCGACACCGCACCCCTTTGGTTACTGGGCCTCCGGGTTCCAGCCTGGGTTTACAGGCGTCGGGGTACCAGGGCGCTAAGGGAGGGGCACCAGAGGGGACGGCACACCGGGAAAACGGGCCACGAGGCGGCAGCAAAGCATCCGAAGTCTCCCAGGGCACCGCGCGCACTCCCGGAAGACGCCCTGACTCCGCCCCCCCGGCCTCGGCCACTGGCCCACGGAGCAACTTTGCTTCTCGTGCTTGAGGTGGGAAACGCGCTGTGCAATAGGAGCACCCTGCTCACTGCCTGATGGGAAATGTAGTTCTGGAAACGAAGCCCGGCAGCGCGGGAACTACATTTCCCGGTGAGCTTGAAGCTACAGCACGCCCGGAGGGTCAAGGGGAGTGGCCTCACAGCCACCAGCTGTTGAGAGTGGCTGTGACTCTTCGGGTCTTTCCCTTTTATCTGCGCTGCGGCGGTGCCACTTTGCCTTCCCTCCCGAGGCCTCCGGGTGCCGGGTGTCTGGCTCCAGCGTCCGTTTTTCCTTGAGGTTGGAAGATGGCAGCTGTAGGGCCACGTCGAAGTGAAGGGGCTCCGGGACCCCCGCGCCCGGCCTGCGTCCCCAAGGGCCCGACCCGGAAGCCCAACGTGTGCCTCCGGCTGAGTCGCCGGGCGCTCGGCTTCTTCGCGCGCGACGCGGGTGTCGGGCAGAGGACGAACCTGGGCATCCTGCGGGAGCTCGTGTGCCAGGTGACCACGCGCAGGCCACCGGGCGACTGTCGGCCGAGCAATCTGCTCCAGCAGGGAGTGTTTCTGAGCCCGGGCTCCGTCTTAGTCACCTGTGAGGGGAAGGGGGGGGGGCGGATAATACATGCAGTGCGTCTGGGATTAGTGTATAGGTGTTCCGAAGGGCTCCAGATGGTTTTAGTTTTGAGCTTTTTATGCTTTCCTGCAAACCATCGTTTTAAAGATTGGGCGTCCAAATAAACCAAGCCATGAGGACTGGACCAGGAAGAATGAAAACTAATGCTTCTAAATAATACACGTGAAATTACTTTGAAAATGCTAAGTTTTACTATTCAAATTAAAGTGAATGCACTTAAAGATTATGAGTTCATTCCTAAACCAAAATTCCTTGTCTTTCAGGAGAGTACTACATTTAAGAATGTTTGGACAACTCATTCCAAGACACCTATAGCCTATGAGAGGGGAAGAATATATTTTAACAATTATCGATGCTGTGTCAGCAGGTAATCTATAGCGACAATTTTTATGTAGAACTACATGCCCACTTAGTATTTAGTGAACTAGAGGGGGAAAAAAAAGACCAAAACGCGGAGCTAGGTGTTAGTGGCTTATGCATGTAAGGTCTATGTTAGGTTTTTTATTTTTTATTTATTTATTTTTTGGTCCGGTTATGGAGCCTGAACTCTGGGCCTGGGTGCTGTCCCTCAGCTCTTCAACTCAAGGCTAGCGCTCTACCACTTGAGCCACAGTGCCACTTCTGGCTTTTTTCTTTTTGCTTATGTGGTGCTGAGGGATTGAACCCAGGGCCTCATGCATGCAAGGCAAGCGCTCTACCACTGAGCCACCTTCCCAGCCCCCATTTTGTTTATTCTTTTAACAGCTGAGATAATTCCACTCTACTTTGGTTTTTTTGTTTTTTGTCAGTCATGGGGCCTGAACTCTGTGCCTGGGCACTGCCCCTCACTTTTCAGCTCAAGGCTAGTGCTCTACCACTTTGAGCAACAGTGCTACTTCCAGCTTTTTCTGCTTATGTGGTGCTGAGGAATCGAACACAGGACCTCATGAATGCAAGGCAAGCACTCTCCCACTAAGCCACCTTCCCAGCCCTACACTCTACTTTTTTGTTGAATTATCTCTGAAGAGAAATTCTATGTAATTTTTTTTTTGTCAATCCTGGGGCTTTGGTCTCAGGGCCTGGGCACTGTCCTTGAGCTTCTTTTGCTCAAGGCTATCACTCTACCACTTGAGCCACAGCACCACTTCCAGATTTTCCTGTTTATGTGGTGCTGAAGAATTGAACCCAGGGCTTCATGTATGCTAGGCAAGCACTCTACCACAAAGTCACATTCCTAGCCCCTATGTAATTCTTACACTTCTCTATAGTATAAGTACATTTTGCTCTCTGTCGACTACCTTGAAGATTTTGTTTTTATATATGATCACTTAATATATATTGTTTAGTGTTTTCTAGGCTTCCTTGATTCCATGAACTATGGCTTAATGTCTATTATTTTTGAAAAATTTGTCCCATTATTGTTTCAATTACTTTTGGTTTTGTTTGTGTGGTATTCTCATGTATATAGTCTTTCATCTAAAGCCAGACCTGACCCCTGCTTAGCTTCCAAGATCAGAAGAGATGAAGTATATTCAAGGATTGTGACCATATCTGCATTACACCTTTTCTAATGTTCCATTTTTCTTGGATATTGTTTTGTTATTTTCTTTCCTTTTTTATTCCCTCCCTAGTTTAGGTGTTTCTGTTGATCAGTCTTCAAGCTTGCTTATTCTTCAGCTACATCCAATCTGCTGATGAACCCATCAGAGACATTTCTTAGCAGTATTTTTGATTTTCAGCATTTGTTTTTAGTTTTGGGGGTATATTTTCTTCTTTCCACTTAATTTGCTTGTCTCTGCTTGTTATTGCCTACTTTTTCCATTAGAGTTCTCAACAGATGAATCATAGTTATTCATAGTTCCTGATCTGATCATTATAAAATGTCATATCTAAGTTTGATTCTAATATTTGCTTTTTCTCCTCAAACTCTGTTTTGCCTTTTAGTGTACCTTGTAATTATTACTATTTTTACAAAACTTCTATAATGTCTAAATTAACAAATGACAAGAATTCATGCATGGGTTCTGAATTCAGTCTGTTGTGACCTATAGAAAATTCCATCATATTGATGACGGAGAAAGAAAATGACAAATTAATGTGCTATTTTCATGCAATTTGGTTTCAGAGGTCCCCATAAATGGGTCTCAGTAACTTCCGGAAGTACCTAAATGACAATGTAAGAACTACTGAACAAAAATTTAACATTTATTAGCAAAATTGTGCATATAATGTCTTCTAAAGACATTCATTAGTGTAATTTTGTTGTGGTAGTGATGAAAATTATCTGATATTGAGTAAAAAGAATTGAGGTAAATAGGCCTTTAGATGAATTTTTATGTTTATTTAGGTTGAAGTTAATCTGTTGGTGTTTGCTGTAGCTAATGGATCTTTAGGTGAAATTTTATGTTTATTTAGGTAGAAGTTAAGCTGTTGGTGTTTGCTGTAACTAAAGATATCAGTGGTTAAAAGTTTTTTAGTGCCATTGGTTTTTTTTCTCATTGTTACTTGTTTTTGTGTAATAGTTCCTTCAAAACCATGATTCTCTGGGTCTACCTTTCTCTTTAGTTTAGGGGTAGCAATTCGCCTTGTGACTTCAGGTCTCTGATGGATCAGAGAAGAATTACAGGGTTCCAAAATTTTTAAGCCATATTAGAGATAATTTCCAAATTGGAAAAAATAGCTTTGGAAATTTAACATGATTCTAGAAGGCTATCTTTTACTTCTCTCTAAAGTAAAACCTAACACTTAAAGTTGAAGGAGCACTAACTAGCCCTTAGACCTTCTCAGCTGGTCTCTCAGGGTAAAACTTCCACGTTATGAAAAGGAATAATACAGTCAGGGGCCTAGTTTTCTCAGTCATGCTTCACGTAACATAGAGCCTCCATTTTATGAATGGGGCCTAGATAAGAAAAGGGAGCCCCACCTCTTGACTACAGTAATCCAGGACTCAGTCCCAGGAAACAAATGGCATAGGGCTGCATGAAAAGTACCCCTCCTAAGGAGATAGCCCTTTGAGTGTAAGTAGAGGGGAAAGGGAGTCCTGAGCTCTTGGCTGCAACAGTTTGGAGTTGACTTACCATCTTACAGAGCTGGAAGAGTAAAAGAAGGGAGCTTGTTCTGGTTCAAACACCACAGACTCCCACAGTTCATACAGAGCTCTTGAATAAATATGTGTCCCCAGAACCATTTCGAGAGACTAAGTGGTCATCTTTTTATTATTTTTATCAGTTTAACTAAAACTAATTTGAATTCCTTACAAACCCCTTTACATGTCATGCTTGAAGTGGAAATCTGGACATTTTTGGATATGAATATAATTGTCTTCACACCTACCAAAAATAACAACTCATGCCACTTAATTCCCAGTTCCTAACTTCCCTAAGTTGGATATACTTGCCTTAATTAAAAGAAAGTTAAATCAGGAAATGACTGATTTATGTATCAATGGTATATAATATAGTGGTTTTGTTTTCCTCAAGGCTAGCATTCTACCTCTTGAGTCACATCTTTACTTTGGGCTTTCTTTAGTGGTTAATTGGAGATAAGTGTCAGAGATAAGCATCTCATGAACTTTGCTGCCTGCACTGACTTTGAACCTTGATCCTTGTATCTCAGCCTGCTGAGTGTCTAGGATTATATGCATGAGCCACTGGGACCCAACTATAATATAGTTCTTTTAACAGACCATTCATAGGTATTTTACCCACAGTTTACAATCATATATAATGAATGATGTTACTTTGATTCTTGTGAAATTCTGTTTGATTTTAGCCTTCGAATAGAGAATATCAAAGGTGAACCAAAAGTTGTCCTGAAAATTGTTTAAGAGTAGTTACATTATAAAGTTCATCCTTTAAAAACCAAGTGAAAAGAGATAGCTGGGCACTGATGGCTTACACCTGCAATCTTAGCTACTCAGGAGACTAAGATCTGGAGAATTGCAGTCCAAAGCCAGACATGGCAAAAAAAAAACCCTGCAAGATTGTCTAAAATAACCAGCAAAAAACTGTGCTGGAGGAGTGGATCAAGTGGTAGAGTACCAACTGAGCAGACAAGCTTGAGCAAGCATGAGGCTCCAAGTTCAAACAGATAATGGAAAAAAATCTATGATCAAGTATCAGTAATAATCAGAAAAGTACTAGCTGGATATGGTAACACTGCTATAGTCCCACACTGATGCTGAGACAGGAAAAACATGCAAATACAGGAGGTTGAAACCAGCCTATACAACATAGGAAGACCTAGTCTCAAAAGTAAAAAAGTCAAAGTAAGGGCTGGGAATGTTGTAGAGTACTTGCCTAGCATGCATGAAGTGCTGGGTTTGATTTCCTCAAGTACCACATAAACAAAAAGCGGGAAGTGGTGCTGAGGCAAGTGGTAGAGCTAGCTTTGAGCATAGAGAAGCTCAAGGACAGAGTCCAGGCCCTGAGTTCAAGCTCCAGAACTAACAAAAAAAGTAAAAAGATGTTTTCCCATCAAATGTCGATAGAAGTATAAACTTATTCAGCTCCGCCTATAGGTAATTTAGGAGTAAAATTAATTTACAGATGATTTCCTGTTTTATCTACTAAAATCAGTGGACTTATATATGGATTTTCATTTTAAATATCAGAACAGAGCTACTAGCAGTAAATGTTCAGGAGAAGAGAATTCATTAAGATTAAATTTTAGGAAACTGCAGGTAGCATGTATATAAAGAAAATCTAAAAGGAAGTAAATCAATACATGAACAATTACTTTGGATAGTTTTATGGAATATTATGTTTTTCAGATTTGTTTTCTGTGTATGTGTACTTGGAATTCTGTGATTAGAAAGATTGTGTTAAGAAAAGCAAGTAAAAAAAAAAGCAAGTAAATTCTAATTTGATATTCTATGAAGTGTCTCACATTTGAAACACATCAAATCTGAGCAAATATTGCCTCTGTTATTAATCATCATTTATTTTTCTTTTTTCCAGTGTTGCAACAGAGCCAAGAAAACTTTATGAAATGCCAAAATGTCCCAAATCAGAAAAGATAGAGGATGCTCTATTATGGGAATGCCCAGTGGTGAGATTTGTCTTTAGAACATTTGTTTCTAAAGTATTTTTAGCTTAGAACTAACTGGTTGTTGTTAATTTTAAAGGATTAAGATTTAAAGATCATCACAATCCCTTAGTCTTTAGAGCATCCAAGAGAATGTATCTTTTAATTATTTCTTCATCATGAATAATTATTAACTTTAAAAATTACCATGTTATGAATCTGTTTTTAAAATTAGATATATTTGAAATCTTAAAAGCTAGATAAGATTAGAGCTGATTAAAAGTTTAACAGAATAAGCTACTTTATATCATTCTTATTATATGAGATCATTTCACTTACTATACTGAACAATTAGTTTGAGGAACAGTTACGTTACATATCCTTGAAAGTGTATTTTACGCATTTTCTCGATGAATCTTGTCAGGAAAATAAGATGGAAAAAACAAATGGGATAAACTGATCCGATCAGCACTACTCCATGTATATTTTTCATGTGGTGTTACCTGTGCCAAAGATATTGGGAGGAATTGGGCTATGGAAAAAGAAGTTTGCAACATTCTGAGTTCAGAAGGTTTAAATATATGTGTGTGTGCGTGTGTGTGTGTGTGTGTGTGTGTGTATTAATATATATAGTATAGCTTCAATTATATATCAAGTATATAATATATGCACATTTTATATATGTATATGGTGACATAATTGATATATAATATAGCACAGAGAAGCTATATATTATATATAATACAATATAATTATATATATTAAATATACATATATAAATATATATAATTATATCTATTTCTTAGACTACAGTGCTACTTGTAATGCTACAGAAGTACATGATGATTGTCAAACATTTCCCCACTTTTCATACTAGACTTCCTTTTCTGAAGAATATTTCTATGGCATCGATTCTATGAAATCCATTAAAAAAAATACTACAACAAGCCAGGCGCCTAATTCTAGCTACTCAGAAGGCTGAGATCGGGGCTGGGAAGTTGGCTCAGTGGTAGAGTGCTTGCCTCGCATGCATGAGGTCCTGGGTTCGATTCCTCAGTACCACATAAGCAGAAAAAAGCCAGAAGTGGCGCTGTGGCTCAAGTGATAGGGAGCTAGCCTTGAGCTGAAAAGCTGAGGGACAGCGCCCAGACCCAGAGTTCAGCCCATGAACAACAACAACAAAAAAAAGAGATCTAAGGATCGAGGTTCAAAACCAGCCTGAGCAGAATAATCCCCATGAGACTCTTCTCTCCAATTATGTGGAAGTGGCTCTGTGGCTCAAGTGGTAGAGTGCTAGCCTTGAGCACAAAACTCAGGGACAGGGCAGGGAAGGTGGCTCAGTGGTAGAGTGCTTACCTTACATGCATAAGGCCCTGGGTTTGATTCCTCAGTACCACATAAGCAGAAAAAGCCAGAAGTAGAGCTGTGGCTCAACTGGTAGAGTGCTAGCCTTGAGCTGAAGAGCTGAGGGACAGTGCCCAGGCCCGGAGTTCTGGCTCCATGACTGGCAAAAAAAAAAAAAAAAAATTCAGGGACAGTGCCCAGGCCCACAACAGACCAAAAAATAAACACACAAAAAAACAAAAAACTACAACAAACTAATCATGTCTTTGAATCTCATTGGTTATTCTTCAGGAAAAATAGAAATCCTAATATGTGACAAAAGTTGTATTTAAAGAATAAAGGTAATAATTCTAAATTTATTTTTCAATCTTTAATTTTTTTACCAAATATTATGGCTCATGCCAAATATTATGGCTCAGCACTGGAGGCTGAGGCAGGAGGATCATGAATTCTAACTTGTAAATCATCCGGGAAAAAAAGGCAAGTGAGGCAGTTGCCTTACACCTATAATCCCATCTACTCAGGAGACAGAGCAGGAGGTTCAAGGCCAGCCTGGGCAAAAAATAATCAAGACTACCATCTCAACAAGAAAGGTGAATGTGGTGGCATGCGCCTGTCTTCTATGCTATGAGGGAGACGTAAGTTAGCGAACCACAGTTCATGTCAGGCTGCACAGATACTACCTGAAAAGGGGCTTGGTGATGTGGCCATACTTAAGTACCTGCTTAGCAAGAGTAAAAAACTGAGTTCAAATTTCAGTACTGCCATTTTTTTTTCTGGCTGTAGTTTTTATATAAAATTATTTTGAGGTTACTGCCATGGTTCAAGTAGTAGAATTCTAGTCTTGAGCAAAATAGTTCAGGCACAGTGCTCAAGCCCTGAGTTCAAGCCCAGAACTAGCACCAAAAAAAATTGTTTAATCCATTTTCATTCTAGTTGGGGTGAGAGATGATTTCTTAATTGGGAAAGTTTTTAGTATACCAATAAAAAACAAAAATTTAGAGCAGCCCTTCACAAAGATTTCTAGTAATATAATTTGTATAACATTTAAATATTTTGTTCTCATTCATAGTGAAGCAAGGTTTTTCTCCCTTAAGAACTAAAAGTAGTGTTTTATTGTTAACATATTAACATGAAATGACTTTTAAATTAATACTCTGCTATTTGGAGATGTAAAATATAACGTTTGATTTAGGAAAATAGTGCAACCTATTATATATACTGCTTTAATTTTTTTTTACCTAGGTATAAATAATACAATTTTTGGAAAAACTTTAAAATTTCAGTGAAACATTCACTGAAATTGTCTGTAAATTGAATGTAAGGCTTTCCATAATTAGTAAGTTAACAAACAGGAGCTAAGAGTAAACAAATGTAGCAGTGGGACTCACTGAACTCACTGTTGAAAATGAACTATGTAGATAAGGATGGGAAAGAAAAATTGGGAGAGAGTAAGGAAAGGGGTGACATTGTCCAAAAAGAAATGTACTCTTTACCTGACTTAGTGTAACTAACCCTTCTGTATATCATCTTTATAATAACAACTTTCTAAAAAATTTTTTAAAAAAACACCAGGATGGGAGAGGTGCTGCTGAGCACTAGTGGGAGCCCGAGGCAGGAAGATTGTGATGTGAGACCAGCCTGGACAAAAATACAATATCCTATCCAAAGAACTAAAGCAAAAAATGGCTGGGGTATGCCGCAAGTGGTAGAGTACTTGTCCAGCAAAAGGGAGGCTCCAAGTTTAAACCCCAGTACTGCCTTTAACATTTGAAAGGAAAGACATCCCTAGGAACATACATAAAGTAATTGTGCCTTCTTTCTTTTCTATTCCTTTTCTTGCATAAACAAGTACTAAATTAATTTCAATTTCTTTGTTGTTAACTCTTACAGCTACCTTTTAATTCCATAATCCAAAGTCAAAACCTTGCTCTTCTTTTTCTTCTTATATTAGACCTCCACCTTGTGGTGGCATCTCAGTGATAGCAGTGCCCAAGCAGCTATTCTCTCCCTTTTATGGGTTATGTATTAATGGTATAGATCATTTCTCTTCTCCCTGATTCTGGATTCATCTTCTAATTTGAAGTTAGTGTAGATCACACTGAATATTGGAATAATTGGTATTTTGCCACATGGACTTCAGTCTAAAAGAAATTAAGTCCTACAATAAAAAAGGAGACAATCTACATGTTTGTTTTAGTATATGTCACTTATAATAGCTATGTTGTTATGCAGGACTTTTAAGAGCTATTGTTAATTGTTATCAGAGAAATAGCATTCTTAATACTGTTAACTGTTGGCTAACAGTTGTTGAATACTTAGAAAATAATGAGTAATTATGTTATTTCAGACACTGTATAAGAACTTTGTATGAATAAACTTATTGAATAAGTTAATGATGAAAATAATTACCCATAGTCTTTCCTTGTGTTGATTGTTTGTTTGTTTGTGCACTTAATATTTCTTTGTTTCACTTAGTTGACTATCTTTAAGTATTTAGGTATTTTTTTATATTGATCACTACAAATTGTCCATGGTGATGCAGTTTTATTTTTACATCTAATTTTTTAGGGAGAAGTACTTGCCAAGCCATCAGATTATAAGCCCTCTCTCATAGCCCTGACTGCACATAATTGGCTACTTCGTATATCAACAGCTACAGGGAAAATCCTGGAGGAAGTATACCTTGCTTCTTACTGCAAATTCAGGTATTAGCTGTGAATTTATTATTTAAATTTTTGTTGTAGAAGTTGGAAATGTATGTCCAGGAAATTTTAAGTTCCTCCTTCTTCCCCTCCTTTTCCAGTCTGGTATACAGACCTCAATTTTATAACTTACTTTTTCCTCCCTTTCTTTCCAACATTTGAAAATCTGAGGATAGAGATCTCTATAATTTGTCTTTGCATCCCTAATAAATAACTAACCTATGCATACTATTTGGCATATAAACTTCTTTTGTTGTTTTAAATTACCTGTGTTACCTTTTTCCAAAGTGTTTTCTTTGTAGGGTGCGTTTTATGGTAGATTTTCCTGGTTTAATTATTTGCCTAGCTAGGCGCCAGTGGCTCATGCCTGTAATCCTTGCTACTCAGGAGACTGAGATCAGGATCTCGGTTCAAAGCCAACCCAGGCAGGAAAGACCGTGAGACTCCTATCTCCAATAAACCACTAGAAAACCAGAAGTGGCACTGTAGCTAAGTGGTAGAGTGTTCCCCTTGAGCTGAAGAGCTGAGGGACAGCGCCCAGGCCCAGAGTTCAAGCTCCACAACTGACAAAAAATAAAAACTATTTGCCTAGTAAAACCCCAAAGTTTTGACTTTTATCTTAACTATTTTAACTATTAGTTTTATAAGTTAGATCTAAATTCTTTGAGTAAATATGTGTATGAAATTTGTGAAAGTAATACTACTTTTTCTATAATTCTCATTTTAAACTAGAAATGGTTATTTGTTTTCTTAGGTTTGAATATTCTTCCATCAAAGGCAGTTTTTATTCAAGACTATAAAGGTTAAAATTACATTTTAAATAGAGATCCATATAGAGATCTGAAGGGAATTTTGGTTTGGTTTGGGTTTTTTTTTTCTTATTATAAAGGTAATACACAGAGGGGTTACAGTTTCATAAGTCAGATAATGTTTTTGTTTTGGGGATTTTTGTTTTTGTGTGTGTGTTGGTGTGTGTGTGTGTTGGTCCTGGGGCTTGAACTTTGGCCCTGAGCTCTGTCCCTGAGCTTCTTTTGCTCAAGGCTAGCACTATACTACTTGAACCACAACTCCGCTTCTGGCTTTTGGGTAGCTAATTGAAGATGAGTCTCACAGACTTTCTTACCTGGGCTGGCTTCGAACCATGATCCTTACATCTGAGCTTCCTGAGTAGCTAGGATTACAGGCGTGAGTCACGAGAACATGACTCTATAATATTTTGATTTAAGCTTAAGTAAATTGACCCACATCATTAAGTTTGTCTTCATTTTTTTTGAAAGGTACTTGAGTTGGGATACTCCTCAAGAAGTCATTGCAGTCAAGTCAGCTCAGAACAAAAACTCAGCAGGGGCTCGACAGGTATACATTATTAAACATTCAATAAAACAAGAATTTGCTTCCTTAGAAATTTGTCTATACATTAGTAATAAAAGAATTAATGAACTGGCACCAGTGGCTCACGCCTGCAATCCTAGCTACTCAGGAGACTGAGATCTAAGGATCACTGTCCAAAGCCAGTCCTGGCAGGAAAGTCCGTAAGACTCTTGTCTCCAATTAACCACCAGAAAACTGGAAGTGGCACTGTGGCTCAAGTGGTAGAGCACTTGCCTTGTGCTAAAGAGCTGAGGGACAGTGCCCAGGCCCAGAATTCAGGCCCCACAACGGACAAAAAAAAAAAAAAAAAGAATTAATGATCTCTCTGATTTCTATAACATGCTATTAAAGTTTGAAAGTAATTTTTTTTCTGAAACATGCTATTAAAACGGGTGCTTTTCTGCCCCCCCCTCTTTCCCCACACCCAGAATCTACTAGACTTTATAAACTCTAGAAATGTATACTGTTTCTGGTTTACAAAGATGTACTTAGAAATCACTTCTTGAGTACTTTTTATAAAAGAGATACAGCTTTAGCTTTTACAAATTTTCTGCTCATATTCTAGACATGTAGAGAATAATCAAAATAATTCTTTTCTATTTCTTTCTGACCAAATGTATGTTCTAGTTCTTTCTCTTTTTTTTTTTTCTTTTTTTTTTGGGTCCAGTCGTGAGGCCTGAACTCTGGGCCTGGGCTCTGTCCCTCAGCTCTTCAGCTCAAGGCTGGCGCTCTACCACTTGAGCCACAGTGCCACTTCTGGCTTTT